CAACCAACGGGCCGCAGTAACACCTTATCTCGGCCATGGGGGGGCGGGAGAAGGGCCCGGAGGCGGGGGGGGGCAGGAGGGGTCGGGGGGGGGGGGGGGTCCACGGAGCCCAGGATCTCTGGGGGGCGCCCGGGAGGCCCGAGTTATCCGGGGCAACTCGGGTCCGGGGTAACTCGGGCTTGGATTCCAGAAAAAAACGAACCCGAGTTAGCCCTGACCCGAGTTACCCCAGGTGATTCGGGGCTCTGAACCTCTGTCGCTCGGCGTCGTCGTGCTTCGTCGCTGTCGTCGCTGTCGTCGCTGGCCGGTCACCGTGCAGAAAAGGGGGGCCTGTGAGCTCGGTGCGCGCCCGGGTCTCGCCGCAGTGCTCCCGGAAGGCCGCGGCGAGGAAGGCGCTCGCGCAAGGGCCTCGCTCCTCGCTCCTCCTTGCTCCTCCTCCTCCCTCCTCCTCTCTCCTCCTCCTCCTCCTCCTCCTCGTCCTCTTCCTCCTCCTCCTCCTCCTCACTCCTCCTCCTCCTCCTCACTCCTCCTCCTCCTCCTCCCTCACTCCTCCTCCTCCTCCTCCTCACTCCTCCTCCTCCTCCTCCTCCTCCTCCTCCTCCTCCTCTCCCCATTTCTCTTCCTCCTCCTCGCTGGTCGAGTCTTGAACAAATCACGCCGTGAAGGTTTTGTCTCCCCGTGTTCGGCCTCTGCGGGGCCTCACTGGGGCCAGGGGGACCGCCAGACAACGACCCCGGGTGACGAGCCAGCCCTGCGAACCCCGCACTGGCAAACACCAGGAAGTTCGGGCGTCTGGGGCCCGCTCGGCGTGGGGCCGCGCGTGCAGCCGCGCGGCGGGCCTGGCGCGCCGCCGCCGCCGTCGTCGCCGTCGCCGTCGCCGTCGCCGTCGCCGTCGCCGTCGCTGTCGTTGCCGCCGCCGCCGCCGCCCCCGCCGTCGCCGTCGTTGCCGCCGCCGCCGCCGCCGCCGCCGTCGTCGTCGTCGTCGTCGTCGTCGTCGTCGTCGTCGTCGTCGTCGTCGTCGTCGTCGTGGTCGTCGCCGCCGCCCTCTCCCGCATCCAGCAGGTGGCGTGGTGCGGGAGCGGGAGGGCGGAGCTGGACGCCTGCGCCTGCCGCAATGCCCGGGGGGCCAAGGATTGGGGTACCATGTGCGGCCTGCTCCAGAAGGCACATATACCATAGACGGATATACCCTTTTCTCGGATCTTGTCCTGAGCCGGACGCAACGGCCCCGAGTGTGCCTATATACATATACACGCATATATATATAAACATATGCATACGTACGTATACACCTACATGCACACATACGTACATACATACATACATACATACATGCATACATACGTACAAACACAACCACACATACATCCATACGTACACACACATACACAAACATACCATCACACACATATAGCTGTATAGACAGACGCCTACGTACGTATGTACATACATACATACATATATACACACATACATACATACATACATACATACATACATACATACACACACATACATACATACATACATGCATACATACATACATACATACATACATACATACATACATACATACATACATACATACATACACACACATACATACACACATGCATACGTACATACATACATACACCATGCTTGTATGCATGGTTGTGTACGTGCATATATATGTACGTATGTATGTATGCATGCATGCATGCATGTATGTATGTATGTAGGTAGGTAGGTAGGTAGGTATGTACGTATGTATGCACCTCAGCCCATGGCGCTGTGATGACACGAAGGTCAGAATTTGCGGGCGACGACACGCAATTCTTGGCTTGCGGGTTCGTCGGGGAGATCGCTGAATACCCTTGGGGCGTTGATAGGCTTTTGACAGCATGTCAAGGCCGTAGTTTGCTGGTCTGTGGATGCTGTCACATTTTCTTAGCCTGGCTGGCCGAGCACGTGCGGGAGGGGCAAGGAATAACGGAGGACGGGACAAACACTGCCTTGAAATAGAATGCACGCGCTGCCACGCCAGCTGGCGGAACACGTGCAGAAGGAACAAATACTGCCAGAGGACGCAAGGCAAACTGCCTTGATACATCATGCACGCGCTGTCACGCCGGGTGGCGAGCACTTGCAGGAAGATCGATGAAAGACAAAGTAAAGACGGAACGCAGCATTGATATTGGGTGCATGCGCTGCCACGCCAGCTGGCGAAGCACGTGCAGAAACTTCTCCTGGTCGCACCGGCAGGGCCTCAAGTTCGATGACTTTGCCTTCATTACTGAAGAGCTTTCGAACCACCTCCAGCGGTCTTCGGAATTCTTTGAGCCTCCTGGACGGACGCATACTGGAGGTGCAATGTTGGGCGTCTTGGTGCCCTTTTGGGCCGTCTTCGGCTCATTTTGGTTCCTCTTAGGCGGTCTTGGTGGTATCTTCGGCTGTCTTAGAGGCCTCTTGGACCGTCTGGAGGCCTCTTGGAGGCCCCCCAGAGGGGGGATTAAAGAAGGAGGCGAGATGGTAGCGAGGTGCGGGGCCCCCGGGCGAGGATCGAGGTCCGAAGTTGTTTTGTCTTCGGTTGCTCTCGTCGTCGCCGCGGCTAGACGCATCTCGAAACGACGTTTTTTGTTGTTGTTTTGCGAGGGAGTGCAGGACGAGGACGGGGAGGGAGATGAGGAGGCAGAAACATCAATAGCAATTGGAGCAGCAATTGGGCCGCCGTGAATCTGTTTTTTTCGGCGTCTCGGGAATTTCGTTGAGGCGTCTTGAGCTCACACCACCATCCGCACTTATGATCCTTGATCTTTGGAGCTCGCTACGTGATGGAACACAAGGACTGGACGACAATCCATGCATTCATTTAGCGTCTCTGGGCCTTCTTTGATATCCTATTTGGCCTTGTGGGCCACTTCACGCCCTCTCGGACCGTCCTGGGACCCACGTGGGGCGTCTTGGAGGTTTTTGGCTGTCTTGGGGACTTGTTGGGGCCCTCTTGGATGGCTCTTGGGGCCCTCTTGGACCTCTCGTGAGGCCATGTGGGACCTTCTGGGCCTTCTTGGGGCCGTCTTGGAGCGCTCTTGGGCCGTCTTGGGACTCTCTTGGGTCGTCTTGGGGCCCTCTTTGGGAGCCGCTTACGCAGTATTGGGTTGATTTTTGGTGCCTCGTGGGCTGTCTTGGCCCGTCGGGAGCATGAAAGAGCCAGAACACGGACAATCTTGAACAACCGCAGAAAATGTGTTTTCCCCCCTGGGGGTCTCGTTGGACTCCTTTTGAAGGCCTCTTGGCCTTCTTGAGGCCCTCTTGGGCTGTCTTGTAACCGTTGGGTCATCTTGGAGCGCTCTTGGGTGGCCTTGGGTTCTCTGGGAGCGCTTTTGGACCGTCTTGGAGCTCTCTTGGACGTCTCTTGGGCCCTCTCGTCACCCCTTCTTCCACTCCTTCGACGCGCTGTGGCGCCCCCTGGCGGGTCCGAAGCGGCCGTGTACAACATCAGTGCTCCCCAGGCCCCTGGGACCGCCTCCTCATACGTACACACACATACAAACACACATACACATATATGTATGTGTATATATATACATGTATGTATGTATGTATGTATGTATGTATGTATGTATGTATGTATGTATGTATGGATGTATGTAGATATGTATGTATGTATATATGTATGTATGTATGTATGTATGTATGTATGTATGTGTGTCTGTGTGTATGTATGTATGTATGTATGTATGTATGTATGTATGTATGTATGTATGTATGCATGCATGTATGTATGTATGTATGTATGCATGTATGTATGTATGTATGTATGTATGTATGTATGTATATATACATATATATATATAGTATCTGGACGCTTGCGGCTAGAACGTGAGAACGGTATGTTGCATCTGCCGCCCACTTCCCAGGGGCCGGACGCAGAAGGAGAAGATGAGGGGGGTCAAGGAGTACGTTGAGGGGAGAGGTGGTCAAGTACAAGTGTGAGGGGCAACGATAGGGAGGCAGTGGCATAAAGGAGGGAGCATCGACCTGGAATCGGCGATACATCGCCAGTAGATCCTCGACATGCCCCCGATGGCGAATCCGCACGTTCCAGGGCGGGGTGGTGCTATCGGGCCCCTCTCGGCCATGAATGGGCTATTGGGTGTCGAGGCATTCCCCCCTGAACCTCCCCCCCCGATCGTAAGGGTCGAGAGCAGGAATAGAAACAGGGGCAGGAGCAGTGGAGGAGCCTTGGACTAAAAGTGGGTATGCCGAGGACCCAGACCCCCGACGTCGTGTTTTGTTTCGCTCACAAGGAGGACCCCCCAGAGGTCGCGATCCTCTCCCCAAGACAAGTACTTCACCCCGAGTCGTTTTTGACGGTCCCGGGGACCCACAAGCGCTGCTGGGGGCTGAAAACGACCAATATCGTCCTGTCGTGGGTCCCGGGAAGGAGAGTATATAGGCGGCGCGCCCGGGGGGGAAGTGAGAAGGGGCCGGCCTTCTCGGAGGGCTCGGAAGTCCCCCCGCCTTCTGAGAAGTTTTCTGAGCCCTCCCCGAAGACACAGAAAACTTCGCAGAAGGCGCGAGGACTTCTGAGAAGCCCCGCCGCCTTCTGAGAAGGCCTCCTTCTTCTCACTTCCCCCCCTTGCTTGCCGCCGAGTATAGCGACGGGGTGGCTGCCCTTACTGCCGTGCAGCGACGCCGCCGGCGATGCGATGGCACCGCCCTCGGCTGCGCGGCCGAGCTGGGCGTGTCAGATGCGCCGTCCGACGCCAGTGCGCCAGAGAGAGAGAGAGAGAGAGAGAGACAGACAGACAGACAGACAGACCGACAGACAGACAGACAGACAGACCGACCGACGGACAGACAGACAGACAGACAGACAGACAGACCGACAGACCGACCGACAGACAGACAGACAGACAGACAGACCGATCGACCGACCGACCGACCGACAGACAGACAGACAGACAGACATAAAGACAGACAGACAGATCGACTTTTTTCATCGGCGGCGAGGCGGCGAACTCCGGTCCAGCGAGAAGCTAGAAAGGGGCACCAACTAGCTAATGGGCCGGCGGGCAAAGAGAGGGGGGGGGACGGCCGAGAGGAAGAAGGGACGCTCGGACAGACAGGCAGGCGAGCAGAAACGCAGAGGCAGAGAGAGCGAGAGAGAGAGAGAGAGAGCGAGAGACGGATAGAGAGAGGGGAGTGGGGCGGGGGGCACAAGGCGAGGGGAATGAGAAGGGGCGAAGGGGAAGTAGGGCAATATATTTTGGCTCAGGCACACGGGCTGAGACGCGTGGATCAAACGCACTAAGGCTCATGTGGCTGAGTACAGCACCCGTCTCGCGTCCCTGCCACGTCCACGTGGCTCCATCCCTCGGTCCTGTGGCGACGATCACCTTGTGGATCTTGTACTCCTGAGCGTCGGCCCCCCCAGTCCGACCGCCCTTCACCCGAATGATCGCGCATGAGTGCAAACGTTGCAAAGCCCACCATGTAATCGCCATGCTTCCGTCGAGGAGACACACACACATCTCAATGTCCTCTCTAGCGCGAGTGTCGTCCTCGTGGTCACCCAGAGCATCCCGCCACGAGACATGAGTGCTACCGTCCCACGCCAAGCGCCGACTACTCGCCCTCGTCGTCAGCACCATCTTAGCAGTGGAGAAGGAGGAGGAGGAGGAGGAGGAGGAGGAAGAAGAGGAAGAAGAGGAGGCGGAAGGGGGGGAGAAGAGGAGGGGGTCCTGTGGGAAACGGGCCCTGGTCCTGGATCCCGGGAACTTCCCAGGCCTTCTTCTGACAGTCCCGGGGCCCGTGGAGCACCCGAGAGCTCGAAAACTGAGAAAAACCTAAGGACACGCTTCCCTCAGGACCCGCTCCCCTCATGGCGGACCATCGTAGGCCAAGAATGAGTTGGCGTTGGCCTGCGACCGGCCCGTTCCCGAGCGCAGGGGCGGGGGCGGGGGCTGCTGCGTCCGCCGCGCGCCCTCTCGGAGGGGCACTGCTCCGCTGGCAGGCGACACTCGCATACCCTTCGCCCCTCTGCATCGCGATGCAGGGCGGCACGCACAAGGGGATTGGGGGAAGGGGGGAAGGCTTCGTAGAAGGAAGCTGCTTCTTGGAAGGCGCCATCCTTACACCTATAGATAAGGCCCGCGCCCTCTAGGAAGCAGGGGTGCTTCTCAGAAGCCTTCCTTCCTCCCACTACCCTCCTGCGCGTGGCCGAATCCCGTGCAGGCAGCCGTCTTACCCGTGGGATATGCGGAAGAAGCGCAGGCATTGATTCCCACACGTGCCAACTCTCCTGGACGCCATGAAGACAAGGGAACGCACCACCGACTTCGTGGCTGGATCTGCCTGCCTCCCCGGGCCCACCTCCGAGCCGCAAGTAACCGTGCCGGAGCTACTGTCGGCAGTCGCCCACTGTGCACGGGGAGAGGGGCGCCGCGTGCGCTTGTGCTCTCGGATGTCTGCGTGCTGTTTGGGTCAGGGTCGCAATCGCCGTGCACGCGAGCTTGTGGTGTCTTTTTGGGGGCGTGGAGGTGCCCCCCAAGGCTTCCCCGAGCGCCCGCCCCTGGAAACTCCCCGAAGCGACGGACGCCCCCGTCGAAGGCCATCCCAGGGGACCATCAGCATGCGGTGTCGGCCGATCGGGCGGCGGAAGCCATTGACAGTGCGCCGCGACGGACGGTGGGATCATGCGCACGCCCGCGCGCCCTCACGCGCGAAGTCTGAGGACAGCACAGCCCCCCCCCCACCCCCAGCCAGGATCCCCACTCCCGACCTGGTGATCCAGGGGGTCCTGGCTCGGGGTGAAACGTTGTTGGTCCCCCAGGGCCCCCACAGGCCCTCCCCACCCCCAGCCATGACCCCCTGGATCACCAGGTCGGGAGTGGAGGTCCTAGCTGGGGTGGAGGTGGGCTGTGCTGTCCTCAGAATCAGCGCGCTCAGACCCTGAGTCGTTGCAACCTCGAGTGGTCATGTCAGTGACAGGCTCGGTGTGAGGCATGCGGTCGGCGGCGGAAGCGACAACCTTCCTAGGTAAGCTTTCCAGCCGCCCTGCGACAGACACCTTCAACGATGCTGCTGACCCTCTGGCTCATTGAGTCGCGAAGTCGGTCGACTCGCGTTGGATCTGAGAGCGGGTGGCGATGCTAGGAAGCGAGCAAGTATGGGCTTCTACCCGAAGCGCAAACGCAACTGCAGCCACGACCGCGCTGTGATTCGTACACGAGGGGTCTGACGGTCACCAGAAGGCCAACGCATAGCAAGGCGCGCGACTCGCGACTCAGCACGCCATCGAGACATGAACCACTACAGCAACACGTGTCGCCATTCCAGATCCACCGCAGCCTCCGTGCAGTGCTTCACTGGTCGCAATGCTGTCAGGACCGCGTTTCTAAAGCCGCGGGCTCCGACACCCATGCAAAGGGCCGCCTCCGTCCCACGCCCCCAGGCTCCGTAGGCCCCACTGCCAGCGTCCAGTCGCTCAGGTGCTCGCCACCCCTGGCCAGCGGGGGGGGGGTCCCCATTCGGCGGGGGAGCGACGCGAGATTCGGTGATGGAGGTGGACAGTTGAAGATCATGCGCAGTATCAGCAGCAACACCGGGTCCAGGACCGAGAGGATGGAAAGAAGGACGACGAAGAGGAGCAGCACAAGGAGGGCACAGCACTCAATACGAATAGCACGTGCGTTCTCTGCTCACAAATTGCCGTCGCAGATGCGTTGCAATGCTGCCCCTGCCCGCGCACTCGTGACTTGAAAGGGTCGTCGCACATGTAAATGGCATATCGTTGAGCTGTGGTGGATGCTGGCAGCTTCGACCCGCACCATTACCCCGCCCCAGCTGAGGCACAAGGACCTCGGTGGCTATTCCGACCCGCCGCCTGAACACATCTTGTGAACGCACATGTGCATGCACATGTGTTTAAATAGGTATGCGAATATGCACACGCACATGTATGTCTATATGTGCTTGCATGTGCCGATGTATATGTAATGCAAGCATACATGCACATGACTGTGCGTTTACATATTTGTATACATAGATGTGTATGTATACACGCATAAGCGTAGGTATACGTCTATGTATGCATTTGATATGTTTACACACGTCTATACATACATTTATTTATTTATATATATGTATATGTGTTCAAGCTTACGAAGCGAAAACTGGTGCGTATATGGCTATGTCTGTGTATATGTGTATAGTCATGTGTTGTACATATGGACACACATGTAAATACATGTGTGTATGCGTGTGTAGATGTATATGCACATGCAACTATACACATGTATACGTTCATGTATGCGTATAAGTAGATGGATGCACACATGCACACATAGTGATACATATGTATGTATGTGCATGTATGCCTGGCTTGTCTCTGTATGTGCATGCGTATGTGAACATGCCTGTGCATATCGACAGGCACCCGTGTATGAATCTGCTTATGTATGCGTAGGCGTGTACCCTAATCCAAACGCGCGCGCCTGGCCTCCAGGAGCGACGAAGTGCGTCCCTCTCCTGCGGCATCTCGCAGAAGGCGGCCGTCAGCTTCCTGAGGGCAGCGCTCTCCCACCCTCACTGTGCTCGCACACGCGCTGCCGCGCAGCATGGAACTGCGGTCAGCAGGCAAGAGCTGCACGGGGCAGTCGCTGCGGACGGCACCGAACAGACCCGCCAGACTGCCGACGCGTCATGGGGGGGGTAGCAGGGGGACCATCCCAGAGCGCCGATTAAACGAGGGACGGGGATGGAGGGCCAGGGCAGGCGAGCGGGAGGGAGAGCAAGGAGCATGGAAATGGAGGGCGTAATGGGGCTCCATTCCTCCTCCTCCTACTCCTACTCCTACTCCTTCTCCTCATTATCATGATCCTGTTCCTCATCCTGCTGCTCCTCCTGCTCGTCCTCCATCTCCTCCTCCTCCTGCTCTCTTGCCTCCTCCTCCTCCTCGTTCTCTTCCTTCCTCCTCCTCCTCCTCCTCCTCCTCCCCTCCTCCTCCTCCTCCTCCTGCTCTTCCTGCCTCCTCCCCCGGGGGGGGGGGGCGGCGAGGGCGAGACAGGCGGAAGGGGGAGGGGCTCACGGAGAGCGTGTCCTCTTGCGCGGCGCCGCCATGGCTCGCCGACGACGGCGCCCCCCCCCCCCCCCCCCCAGCAGCGGGGGTCCGGGCGCCCGCTCCCGCGCCGGGGGCGCCCCCGTCAGCAGCGCGGGGCGGGCGCAGGGGCGGGGCCGCCTGAGAGAGCCCCCCCCCCCCGCTCCGCGCTGCCGCCCGCCCTCCTCCCCTGTCCGAGAGCTCGATGTGCCGGCGGTGGAGCGGTGGAGTCGGCGGTGAAGCGGTGGAGCGGTGGAGTCGGTGGAGCGGTGGAGTCGGCGGTGAAGAAGCGGAGCCCGAGGCGGACGGTGCTGCTCTTCGGCGCTGCCTGTCCCATGTCCTGCCCTGCTCGCGCGCCGTCCAGTGCAAGGCTCACGTTCGTGAGGTCGTTCCCCGTCCGTTTCCCCCCCCCTCTCCAGCACGGGTTCCTGGCAGGGTCGGATCAGGCGGCGTCTGAATTTGCCCGCGCGCCACGTCGAGCAGATCTCCCCCGTCCCATCTTCTTCTTCATCCTGTTCCTACTCATGTTCCTCCTCATCATCATCACAAGACTGCTGACCGATGCTCACACCTCAGAGTCCCTTCCCCCCCTCCTCTCCCCTAAACCTCATATGGCTGGCGACAGTCGGTCGTCACGGGGATCCCAACGGCACGAAGCACATCGCGGCCGCAAGACCACATACCAATCTGCAGCAGACCTCCTTCTACAGGCTCCCGGCCAGCTTTCTATGACTGCCACCGGGATGGAACCCACCTCTCTGCAGACGGCGCCAAGAAGTCCCCACAGAGGCCCCAACGAGCGCAAGAGAGCCCCAAGAAGGCCAAACAAAGGCTCCCAGACAGTGAAGCATCGGGCACGCACTCGGATTACCAAAGCTCATCGTACACCTCCCTTCCTCTTCCTCCTCCTCCTCCTCCTCATCATCATCATTCTCCTCCTCCTGATCATCTGTCGCAGTCCTACTCCTCCCTTCCGCCAGCAGAGAGCCGCGGACACCAATATTCGATGGAAATCCCCGGCCTGCTCACCTCATACATTTGCGCTCTCATTGCTTGCGAGATTTTCGTGCTCGTTTCCCTTTGCCCCCCCCTCCCCCCCGTGACCCCCGTTCTGCGAGCTCATACCTGAATCTGCGTATCGCGGCGCTCCGCTGAACTCCCATGGGCGCAGGGACGTGGCGACAGCCTTTTTTAGACGAGAAAACAGCAAGTCGCCTCAGAACCTCTCTTGAGGAGGACCGCAGACAGAGCCCCGCTTGGTTTATCTTCCCGATGAGAGTCAATCGGAGCTCTCTGAATCGGCATGGAGGTCGTGCAGCTGACCAATCCCCATGCCGCAAAGCGACTTGCAGCACTCAGGGATGGCGGTGTCGCGGCGCTCCGCTGGATCCACCAAGGGGCACAGGAAGGTGGCGACAGGGCGAGCTCTGGTAGAGGAAAAAAAACTATGCACACACACAGACACACACAGACACAGACACAGACACAGACACAGACACAGACACAGACACAGACACAGACACAGACACAGACACAGACACAGACACAGACACAGACACAGACACAGACACACACACACACAGACACACACAGACACACACACACACACACCGATTCTGGCCAGGCCCATCCTGAGCCCAGGATCGGTGCATACGCCCTCCTGCCTTGGCCAGGAAGGCATACGCACCGATCCTGGGTCAAGGATGGGCCTTGCCAGGATCGGTGAATGTGCATAGTTCTCTTCGCCCGATCTAGTCTGGATCCGCGAACAGTGGCACTCCGCGGGACCCCCTGGGGAGGCAGGAGCGTGGCCACAGTGTCACGTTTGGCTGCACGCTGCACCCACGGAGGGTGCTGTCTTGCTTGGATCGGTGTGTGGCGCCACTCCGCTGCATCCCCCAGGGGCACGGGAAACCGGCGACGGATGCTGCGCGCTCGCTGGCACCCAGGAAAGGTCAGGTCGTCCCATGTGGCTGCGACAGGCTCGTGTCGTGACGAACACGACGTCAGTTCCTGACACCGCGTTGATCGTTCAACAGTGAACGATCGGCGGCGCGTCGATCGCATATTTGCCGATTGTGGGCCACTGGCGGCGTTCAACTTTGACGTCCTGCTGGGGTAACTGCCGCGTCGGCACGACACGAACCTACCGTATTCATGTTGCGGCCCTCCGCTGGACGCATCCTGCGCAGGGTAGTTGACACCAAGCGCCTAATGGAACGGATCTTGCGATGCAACCTGTAGGCCACACAGAGTCGAGGTTTCTTTGACCCTGTAGCCCGTCTCTACGATTCGGCGCGTCTGGAGGTCAACACCGACCCCGCGAGGCAGAAAAGGACACCTCCCCCAGCAATGCGCAAGAACGTCTGTGGGCAATAGTGACCTTTGGTGCGCAGCTCTAGGGGGGCGCAGGGGGGGGAGGGCAGAGACAAGCGCGCAAGCCGCTGCTGGCGCATCGCATACAACGACCGGGGGACCACAATGGGCTTGCACCACGGGCCCCGTCGGCGAAGGGCCACTCTTACGTGTAGTCGATGCCTGCAGGGCGGCCAGCCCTGACGGCCTGCCCGGCCAATACGAGGCGGATGTGCGCCACAGCAGAGCCAACCACCCCGAACCTTTTTGCCGCTCGCAGCGGCCACTGGGAGCACCTGCGCCGCCGCCCTCTCGCCTCCGCGGTCGAAGCGCGCACCACCGCCGCCACGCCGCCGAGGGATGGCGCCATCGGGCTTTTGGGATCCCGGCGCCGTCTGGGCGACTCCGATCCCCAATCCACGAAGCCTCCGCGCCACCGAGCGGCCCTCCGTAGGGCAGACTTGGACGCCCGGAATGGGCGAGGAAAACATGGGCACGATGCCCAGCAGGACATGTTGTCCCAGACCACCAGCGGCCGCTGCTGGGCAGGCGGCCTTCTGCCGCGAACGGACGACGTCCGCGGCGGCGCGGACGTCGTCCGCGCCGCCGCGGACCCTGTTCAAAATGAGGTGGAAGGAAGTGTTGTTTCACAGATTCTCCTGATTAACGCAGCGTTCTTATGAGGGAATGCATGAACGAGGGGAAGGAGCAGGAGCAGGAGAAGGGGGAGGAGGAAGAGGACGAGGAGGAGGAGGAGGAGCGCCCGTCTCCAGAAACCTTGAAACCTGTCCCATGACGTCCGCGGCGGCGAGCCCTGTGCAAAATGAGGTGGAAGGCATGGTGGGCTCCCCGCCCACTCTTGCCCTACCCACTTCGCTCGTGCCGAGCAAGACGCCATCCCGGGGCCTCCCGCGTCGAGCCCCTCGGGCTCGCAGAGACGAGGCACAAACCTTGGGTCGGGCCCGTCTCCCTACAGGCGGATGCTGGGCGGAAAAGAAAGACATGCCAAACATGCAATCAGCATGTCAACAAATGGTAAGCAACGAATCGTCCCCATACTATTTTGGTGCGATTTGCACCTATGTGTGAAAGCCCCCCCTGTGGAGGGACAGGCCGGACTTAACGCACACACACCCACCAGGTGGGGGGGGGGGGCACAGCCAGACGGACCAGGAGAAGGGGGGGGGCGGGGACGTGGCACGGAGGGCTGGAGGAGCGGGACGGGAAGGAGCGGGGACGGAGAGGACAAGGGGGCCAGGAGCGGGCACTTCGAGGAGGGGATCGACCCACATCAGCGATCTGCCCCAGACTCGATTTGTTCGTCGAGTCTACGAGAAGTGCGTCGAGTGCTGCGCTGATCTGCGGAGCATTCGGCACACCCTCCGTAGATTCGACGGGAACATCAAGTTTGGGGGTACATGAATTCTGTGGCCCTACTCGACCACTGAGGGACGGGAGGAGAAGGGGACGGGAAAGGGCCCTGAGGGGACGGGAAGGAGATCAGGAGACTGTCGCTCGCCCCTCCGAAAAGGCAGAACTTCTGGAGTCCCTGGACGGGGCGAGTCTTCGGCCATGAACCATACTTCTTTTTCGCTCTCTGGATATCTCGCGCTCGAAGCCGCCCCTAGTAGGGGAACGAACTCTACACGTCGACGTGTTTTCCGGCCTTGCACTGAAACTTGCTCAGGAAAACACGCCCTGGTGTATACGGGATCCTAGTGTATGCATGTTTGTTGTTTTCCCAGGAAGCGGAAACACAAAGAATACACCATCCCACCCCGACGTCGCCCCGACCCTCAAAAAGTCCTGGGATTGACAAAAAAACAGCCCGCCGCTGGTCATGTGGCAGATTCCGGAAACCCACCAAACATGATGTCGTCTCTTTGAGGCGTCTTTGTGCTTCCGCCGCCTTCCGCCAGCCTTCCGCTGGCTTCCGCTGGCGGAGGCGGCCCCGCTCCACTTCCGCCGACCCTACGCCGCGGCAGGGATGACAACTCCGTCGATCCTCGGAGGCGAGGTCCTTTCTGGAACGCCTCGTGTACATGTTCCAGCTTCCGACCGAGGACAGCTTCCCCGGTGCACATGCCTGGGGAGGAGGAGGAGGAGGAGGAGGAGGAGGAGGAGGAAGAGGAGGAGGAGGAGGAGGAGGAGGAGGGGGGAGGAGGAGGAAGAGGAGGAGGAGGAGGAGGAGGAGGAGGAGGAGAGGAGGAGGAGGAGGAGGAGGAGGAGGAGGAGGAGGAGGAGGAGGAAGGGGGGTGCTGCTGCGCCCTCGGCCCTGGGCCTCCCTCGGTCGGCGGGCCCGCCACGAACAACGGTCCGCCCGGAACACAACTCCACCGGGCCGCCCGGAAAACGAGACCGGCACGAAGATGATGATGATGAAGATGATGATGAAGATGATGAGGATGATGATGATGATGGTGATGATGATGATGCTGATGATGCTGATGATGATGATGATGGTGATGAGGATGATGAAGATGAGGATGATGATGATGATGATGATGATGATGCTGATGATGATGATGATGATGGTGATGAGGATGATGAAGATGAAGATGAAGATGATGATGATGATGATGATGATGATGATGATGGTGATGAGGATGATGATGATGATGATGATGCTGATGATGCTGCTGATGATGATGATGATGATGAAGATGATGATGCTGATGATGATGCTGCTGATGATGATGATGATGAGGAGGAGGAGGAGGAGGAGGAGGAGGAGGAAGAGGAGGAAGAAGAGGGGGAGAAGGAGGAGGGGGAGGAGGAGGGGGAGGGGGAGGGGAAGCAGGAGGAGGAGGAGGAGGAGAAGGAGGAAGAGGAGGAGGAGGGGGAGGAGGTGTCCTTCCCGCTTCTCCTTCCGGGCATGGTGTGACGAGCTGACAGCTGGAACCCATACCCGTACAGCACCCGAGCTTTGTCGGGGTGGACGTCTGGGAGGGCCTTTGGGTGCGTGCTGCCTGTTGGGGGCCCCCGCTCGAACGCCCCCCCCCCCCACCTGCACCGCAACCTCAAACGGCGCGGCGCGGGTCGGCCCCAGTGTATCCGGGTGTGTTGGCGTGCAGCCGCTGATCGAGAGGGCTCCGTCGATAAGACGTGCATGTGAACACCGCAACGCTGGGTCGGACGGGGCCTCCTGACAGAGGACGCGTGCAGCGGGAGGCGGCGGAGGAGCTTCGACCACGAATCGCGCGCGCAGCTGCCCGCTGCATCGCGGGAAGGGCCGGCCAGGCTGACTTCTCCCTCTCCCCCTCCCTCCTCTCGTTTTTACCCCGCACCTTCCCCATCCCCTCTCCGCTGTGCTCCCCTGCCCTCTCCTACTATCTTCTTCCACTCCCTCTCCTCCCAAATCGTTTCCCTCTTCTCTCTCTCTCTCTCCTCCCAAATCGTTTCCCTCTCCTCCCAAATCGTTTCCCTCTCTCTCTCTCTCTTCCACTCCCTCTCCTCCCACATCGTTTCCCTCTTCGCTCTCTCTCTCTCTCTCTGCGATGCCGCCAGCAAGCCGGATGGAATCGCTGGGTCGAGACCGCAACGAAGTCGGAGGCCGCAGGGGTCCGGCAAAGACCAGCCGGGAGCGAGCACCCCCTCTCGGACACCGATCCCTCGACGCAGCGTGCCTTCCTCCCTCCCCCCCGCGAACCTCGTCGCTCGTGGCCGATCCCTCGTGGCTGCTCGTGCTCGGCAGTGGCCCCGGCAGAAGAGAGCTCTGCGGACGGAAGCCGGGGCCTGTGCGGACGAGGCGAGTGCGCAAGCTGGACCGTGCGGGCGCGGCCTCGAGCAGAGAGACGTTGCCCTCCCATCTCTGCGGGAATCTTGGGGGGAATTTCGGGGAGGAGGAGGAGGAGGAGGAGGAGGAGGAGGAGGAGGAGGAGGAGGATAGAGTCGCACTGATTAAGTTACAGTCGCAGGCGCACCGAAACCTGACCTTGGAAAGGCCGCCCCAGGACCACGCCGCACGCGGACCGAGCCATGCTGGAAGAGCCCGAGAGGAGTCGCTGCACACGCGCGCGCGAGAGAGAACGGCGCTGTGCGAATCCCTACCGATTGTATCGCGGAGCTCGCGGCCCCCTCTGGTGACACAATCGATAACGATACCGATGCCGCTTCTCCCCGGAACTATCCGGGGGAGCGTTCTGACCAGAGTTTCGAGGCGAGTCCACTCGTCACGACGAGGGCCTCCCCAGGAGGCCCACACAGGCGAGAGCGAAGAAAGGGTCGCGGCATCTGGGGAAATCGAAAGGTACCGATGCCGCTACTGCCCAGACCTCTCCCGCAGTGCGATCTGACCAGAATCTCGAGGCGAATCCAGCAGTGGCGACGAGGGCCTCCCAGGAGGGCGAAACAGGGGAAGACGGGCGAAGGATAGCGGTATGGGTACCTTTCACCCCCTCGGAGAATCGGTGCCTTTCGCTCCTCTGACTCCTGGCCCCCTCCCCCTCGAAGCCACCCTCGCGGCAATTTCCGGAGCGGTGTGGCCAGAAACTGCCCGCCACCACGCACATGCCAGAAGACTCCCAGGTGTGCGCGTCGCCCCCGGGGACGGCGACGCTCACATGGCATCAGCATGTTTGGGTGACGCCGATGTGCCTCCTCTCACTCCTGGCCCCCTCCCCCTCGAAGCCACCCTCGCGGCAATCGCTCCTTCGGAGCGACCGGCCGCGCAGGGCGCGCAGGCTGCCGCGCGCCGGGCCAGAGAGGCTCGGCGCGGGTGCTCCGGGAAAAGCGGCCGGGCCGCTGCAGCGGCAGCGAGGGGCGCCGCTGCGCGGGCGGCCTTGGACTACAGGCGCGCACGCGGCATCCGCGAATGCTCTTGGTGGGGACGCACAGAGACATACTGGTACTATGTGTCCTCCTTGGAGGCGCGCGTCCGACCCGACCATAGAGCATACCCATCTGGTAGTAGATCGTTTCCCGAGCGAGGCGGCCAGAAAGCGCCCGCCACGATGCATATCCTGTGAGATTCCTCGGTGCGCGCGTCGCCCGTGGGGGGGCGCCGCATATATAGTATCAGTATGTTGGGGTGACGCCGATGCCTGGACTACAGGCGCGCGCACTCGGCATCTGCGGATGCTCTTGATGGCATCGGGACCGCTTGAAACAAGAGAGCCACTCTCATATCCTCCGACCCGCGCCCGTCTACGTAGGGCCACAAGGCGTGTCGGGTAGTTTGCCGTCCCCGTTTCACTGCTCCTCCCTTCAGGGATCCAGAACTCCGTTTGAGAGGCGGCGCGGAGCGGAAACGAACTCCTCGACGCATATCCGGGTCCTCGAAAGCCCCCCATGATAAGCCCACCAGGCCCTGGAGGCCCCTCACATGGCCCAAGATGCTTCCAACTGTTCCCCATGTAACCGAAGATGACCTGCAAGACTGCGCCTGCTGGCCCAAGATAGCCCTCAAGACGGCCCCAACTAGCCCCAGGATGGTGGCAAGCTGGCCACACAGCCTCCCAAGGCAGCCCCCCCCAAAAGGAACGAATATCGAACCGCAACGTGCCTTCTAATGCTTTCAGCGTTCCCATCTGTGCTCATTCAAGTGGGCCTCAGCAGCCGTAAGACCGCCCCACGGTGGCCTGAGCAGACAAAGCACACGAAAGGACCCAGTAGGTGCCCAACCATGCTCAAGCTGGCCACAAGAGGGCCTCAACTGCGTTCTGAAGAGGTCCTGACAGGCTCTTGGAAACATCCCAGGCAGCCCCCAAAGCCCCTCAGGAGCGTCGTTAAACAATTCTGGGTCTGAACGTGCCAATCTACTGACATACATACGTACACTTTACAACCACACTCAGCTGTGCATGTTGCATGTTGACGGGGGGCTGCACCTTAGCACACCACAGGAGTAACTCCCATGGGCCCAAGCCCAGCCCAAGAAGGATCCAGGCCCAAAGGAAACACGGAAAGAGCCCCAATATAAACTCACGAGCCCCCTGGTATACCCCCAAAATGACCTCATCCCCCGATCGGGAGATGTGCATGCTCGTTTCTCTCTTCGCTGGCAGCGTGGGCGGATCGGAAAGAGCACGGTTGGCCGTTCGAGGCTCGTGCCTTCCCAGGCGTGGGCCTCTGTCACTCATCCTCGTCCGCCCCTTCCCCGTCCCACTCCTCACGACACTCCTGCCATTCCTCCTCTCCCCCTCTGCCCCTTCTCCTCCTCGTCCGCCCCTTCTCCGTCCCAGTCCTCAAGATACTCCTGCCACTCCTCCTCCCCCCCTCTGCCCCCGTGCCCCTCCTGCACAGCTCGCTCGCCCTCTCCTCCTCCTCCGCTCTGCCCTCTCCCATGGGGGCACCCGGGCAGCCCAGGACGTCGTCACGAGCACCCTCCTCCGGGGCCCGCGGCACGGCACGCCTCCCCAGGGCTAGTCCGCCCTTCCGTCGCCGCCATCAGGCCCTTCTCCCCCCCCCCCACTGTAGCTCCTGCTGCTGACGTCCGACCTCGTCCTCCTCCTTCCTCGTCCTCCTCGTTCCTCGTCCTTCTCCGTCCCTTCCTGCTGATCCGCCACCTCCTTCTCCAACGTACGCAGCTCCTTTTTCCCCATTATTAATCACACGATGGGACCCTCTTTGCAGTTCCAGGCCTGCTATGACACACGTCGGCGGATGGGTCAAAACAGCGCAATCGGAAGGGATGGGTGGTAGGGGGGTTGTATGTCAGATATGGCGCGAGCGCACCTAGCTGCTTGCCCCCCGCCCGCACCCACCCCTCTCCTCCTCCTCCCTGCGATGTTTGTGAAGACCTCGAAACCGCCCTGCCGCCTTGGGATTCGGCGCCGCGGCGCCGATGTCGAGCGCAGCCCTGGCAAACGGTGTCGTGGGGTGCGATCGAGGGGCCTCGTTTCCTCACGTGCCAGGGGTCGTGGCGGCGTGATTCCATGCGCCTTTCAAACTCAGGGTTCGTGGCTATTCATGGCCGTCGGGGCCGAGTGAGTTGCGATCCCTCTCGTGGTGAGTTATCGGCCGCCCCGTTGCCCAGCTGCCTCGCTGATGGGCACCATGGGACCATCGCTGCCAGCCTCGTTGCCGTGTTGCTCTGCCGCCTCGTCGCCGTCGGGCCTCCTTACCCCTCGCCTTGCTTCGTGGCGCGCTCGTGGCATTGTTGCCTGGTGGCAACACCGTCCCGTCGACACGTTGATTCGGTGCCTCGCTGCATCCATTCATCGTGTCTTGGACCAGGGTCGACTCCTCCACGGCCTCACGGCCTAGTTTTGCGCTCGTCGCTCACCCGATCCCGCCGCTTGCCCCCTTTCTCGGGCACCCCGCTGCCCCGCTGCGTCGAGGCCCTTGGCACATAAATGTGGTGGGGCAGCTGTGCCCAACCCCCTCCAAACTCTTGCTCCTCCTGCTCCTGCTCCTGCTCCTCCTCCCTCCTGCTTCTCCTGCTCCTGCTCCTGCTCCTGCTCCTCCTGCTCCTGCTCCTCCTCCTCCTTCTCCTCCTCCTCGTGCTGCCACAGGGAACGCCAACACATCACGCATGGAGAGGCGTTTCTGGCCACGGCGAGTCCCAACCACGAACAGGTTTCTCCTCCTTCTCCTCCTCCTCCTCCTCCTCCTCCTCCTGCTCCTCCTCCTCCTCCTCCTCCTCCTCCTTCTCCTCCTCCTCATCCCCTCCTCCTCCTCCTCACCTCCTCCTCCTCCTCCTCCTCCTCCTCCTCCTCCTCCTCCCTCCTCCTCCTCCCCCTCGCTCTCCGCCTCCTGCGCATCCTCCCACCCCTCCTCCTCCTCCTCCTCCTCCTCCTCCTCCTCCTCCTCGCTCTCCTCACCTCCTCCTCACGAACGGGAGCGGCCTGGAAGTCGGAGCCCCTCCTGGGCCAATGCCAAAGGTGGTCCTTTTCTCCGCGGCGTGACTGTACCACTTTCTGAGAAGGGTCTCTCTGGTGAGGAGGACGTCGGAGGAGGCCTGAACGGAAGCGCGGACCAATAACTTTTGAAAAGTAGCCCCACAACACGTCGGAGGATGCGCCCCTGGGGGGGGGCATGGGCAGAAGTGCGCCGAGGTGGTCGCTGGAGTCAAACACTGAAGGAGTTCTCGATCAAGACGACGGCATGAAATCAACAGGGAGCAGGGGAAACGCAATGGATGTCGAGGGCACCAGGGGCCATCACGGAGATCACAGAAGCTCGAACTCATGGGAATGCGCCTGCACGATTGCAAGCCTTCCCTCTTGAACCTGGGACCTTGGATCTGGACCAACACTTGGTGAACCGCACTGCTGCGGGACAGAGCTCCCGTCCAGAGGGGGGCTCCGCGATACTCAACGCCGCTGCTCTCGATCCGTTCGGGAACGCGCCTCGCGCGCCATCGATCGGGCACCCGGCAGTTGGCCCGGGGGGGAGGGCACCCGAAAACAGAAGCACTGGGCAGGGTGGGCGGGGTGGGCTACCGGGGATCGAGGAGGGAGCGTCGAGGACGGGGGGGGTCGAGGGCCACGGGTGGGAGAAGGATCGAGGATCGAGGAGGGAGCCTCGAGGAGGGGGGATCGAGGGCCAGGGGGGGGGGGGGAGAAGGCTCGAGGATCGAGGAGGGAGCCTCGAGGAGGGGGATCGAGGGCGGAGGGGGGGGGGGGGGAAGCCTCGAGGATCGATCGTGGCGGGAGCGTCGAGGGGGGGGTCGACGCGCCCCCCCCCCCGGCCGGAGGAGGAGGAGGAGGAGGAGGAGGAGGAGGAGGAGGAAGAGGAACAAACATACACTCTTGGCGGTCCGTGCGGCTGCTTGTCGATCGGCGCTGGACCCCTCCTCCCCCGCGCGCGGAGCGCGCCGGGGGTGGCGCGGGAGGCGCCGCCAGGGTAAGGGTGAGGCTAAGGGTGCATGCGCCGAAGCGCGGCCGACAGGCCGACGGACGACCCGAAAGGAGGAGGAGGAGGAGGAAGCCAGTCCCCCGCATGGGTCCCCCGCATGGGGCCGCCGGTCGCCGGGCGCCGGACGCTGGTCGCCGGCCAGCCGGTCGCCGGTCGCCGGCAGCCGGACAACAATTGGTCATCTCGGGTACCTCCCTGGGTACCTCGGGTGCCTCCTTGGGTACCTCGGGTACCACTCCCAATAAGCATGTGCATGACAACTATTGAGTACCTTGGGGATTGGGTCCCTCGGGTACCCCTCCCAATAAGCATGTGCATGACAACTAAGCATGTGCGTGACAGCCATTGGGCACCTCGGGTACCTCTCTGGGTACCTCGGGTGCCTCCTTGGGTCCCTCGGGTACCCCTCCCAATAAGCATGTGATGACAACACTTGGGCACCTCGGGTACCTCCCTGGGTGCCTCCTTGGGTACCTCGGGTACCACTCCCAATAAGCATGTGCATGACAACTATTGAGCACCCTGGGTATTGGGTTCCTCGGGTGCCCCTCCCAATAAGCATGTGATGACAACACTTGGGCACCTCGGGTACCTCCCTGGGTACCTCGGGTGCCTCCTTGGGTACCTCGGGTACCACTCCCAATAAGCATGTGCATGACAACTATTGAGCACCTTGGGTATTGGGTTCCTCGGGTACCCCTCCCAATAAGCACGTGATGACAACACTTGGGCACCTCGGGTACCTCCCTGGGTACCTCGGGTGCCTCCTTGGGTACCTCGGGTACCACTCCCAATAAGCATGTGCATGACAACTATTGAGCACCTTGGGTATTGGGTCCCTCGGGTACCCCTCCCAATAAGCATGTGCATGACAACACTTGGGCACCTCGGGTACCTCCCTGGGTACCTCGGGTGCCTCCTTGGGTACCTCGGGTACCACTCCCAATAAGCATGTGCATGACAACTAAGCATGTGCATGACAGCCATTGGGCACCTCGGGTACCTCCCTGGGTACCTCGGGTGCCTCCTTGGGTCCCTCGGGTACCCCTCCCAATAAGCATGTGCATGACAACAATTGGGCACCTCGGGTACCTCCCTGGGTACCTCGGGTGCCTCCTTGGGTACCTCGGGTACCACTCCCAATAAGCATGTGCATGACAACTATTGAGCACCTTGGGTATTGGGTCCCTCGGGTACCCCTTCCCAATAAGCACGTGATGACAACACTTGGGCACCTCGGGTACCTCCCTGGGTACCTCGGGTGCCTCCTTGGGTACCTCGGGTTCCACTCCCAATAAGCATGTGCATGACAACTATTGAGCACCCTGGGTATTGGGTCCCTCGGGTACCCCTCCCAATAAACATGTGCATGACAACGCTTGGGCACCTCGGGTACCTCCCTAGGTACCTCGGGTGCCTCCTTGGGTACATCGGGTACCACTCCCAATAAGCATGTGCACGACACCTAAGCATGTGCATGACAACGCTTGGGCACCTCGGGTACCTCCCTGGGTACCTCGGGTGCCTCCTTGGGTCCCTCGGGTGCCCCTCCCAAGAAGCATGTGCATGACAACAATTGGGCACCTCGGGTACCTCCCTGGGTACCTCGGGTGCCTCCTTGGGTACCTCGGGTACCACTCCCAATAAGCATGTGCATGACAACTATTGAGCACCTTGGGTATTGGGTCCCTCGGGTACCCCTCCCAATAAGCATGTGCATGACAGCCATTGGGCACCTCGGGTACCTCCCTGGGTACCTCGGGTGCCTCCTTGGGTACCTCGGGTACCACTCCCAATAAGCATGTGCATGACAACTATTGAGCACCTTGGGTATTGGGTCCCTCGGGTACCCCTCCCAATAAGCATGTGCATGACAACACTTGGGCACCTCGGGTACCTCCCTGGGTACCTCGGGTGCCTCCTTGGGTACCTGGGGTCCCACTCCCAATAAGCATGCGCATGACAACTAAGCATGTGCATGACAGCCATTGGGCTCCTCGGGTACCTCCCTGGGTACCTCGGGTGCCTCCTTGGGTCCCTCGGGTACCCCTCCCAAGAAGCATGTGCATGACAATAATTGGGCACCTCGGGTACCTCCCTGGGTACCTCGGGTGCCTCCTTGGGTACCTCGGGTACCACTCCCAATAAGCATGTGCATGACAAGAATTGAGCACCTTGGGTATTGGGTTCCTCGGGTACCCCTCCCGATAAGCATGTGCATGACAACGCTTGGGCATCTCGGGTACCTCCCTGGGTACCTCGGGCGCCTCCTTGGGCACCTCGGGTACCCCTCCCAATAAGCATGCGCATGACAACTAAGCATGTGCATGACAGCCATTGGGCACCTCGGGTACCTCCCTGGGTACCTCGGGTGCCTCCTTGGGTCCCTCGGGTACCCCTCCCTATAAGCATGTGCGTGGCGTCAATTTGGGCACCTCGGGTACCTCCCTGGGTACCTCGGGTGCCTCCATGGGTGCCACGGGTACTCCGCCCAATAAGCATGTGCATGACAGCCATTGGGCACCTCGGGTACCTCTCTGGGTACCTCGGGCGCCACCTAGGGTCCCCCCCCAATGGGCCTGTGCACCGCCTTGGGCACCACAGTGGGTGCACCCTCGGGCACCTCCCCGAGCACCGCCCCGGGCGCCCCACGCGTGGAGTCCCTCCCGGGTCCAGAACGGTGGACGGCCCACCCACCGACAGCCATGGACAACGACGCGACGGGGCCTGGGACCCACATCCCCCTCCGCCCCCTTTAAGGGGCCTTTGACAAGGTGGATGGCACCCCACCGACAGCCATAAACGAATGGGAATGCAACTCGCTGCCCGCGGGCAGACCAGGTGGAAGGCACACCCACCGACAGCCAGAAAGATGGATTGCTGGTGTCGCCCCGGTTCCCTAACCTGCGGGGTGCTCGTGAGGGTGCTCATCGAAAGTGCAATAATCGCACTATCTTACCAGCGCCCCGTGCGTCCCTCACAAGCACGAACCCCACAAGCTGCGGGAACCTTCGGCACGGGGGAGGCGCCGCCAGGGAGGCACTGACGAGGCTCCAGGAAGTCCGCGCGGACCGCCAACGGTTGGTGTCTGTGTAGCTGCTTCTCCTTCGAGCTCCTCGTCCTCGACCTTCCCCGGAGAAGGCCCGCGGCGGCGGCGCCGTGCGCGGCCCCGACGGGGGCCCTCTGGCGGCGCCGCGGGCGGGCCGGCTGGCATCCGCGCGTGGGGCTGGGCGGCGGCGAGCACAGGGGGGTCAGGCCTCCCAGGGGGGGGGTCGCTCCTCCGCCTCCTCCTCCTCCTCCGCCTCCTCCTCTTCCGCCTCCTCCTCCTCCTCCTCCTCCTCCTCCTCCTCCTTCCCGCCCTCGGGGAGGAGAGGCGAGCGGGGGGCAGTGCGGCTCTGGAGCCTGCTCGGCTACGCGCGAGAGAAGCCTCGGGCATGAGTAACATCAGGTGCAGGGTTTGGTTTGGCGGCGCGCACAGGGGGGGTAACGGGGGTGGGAAGGCATCTTGGAAGGAGGTTGCTTCTTAGAGGGCGCTGGCCTTACATCTATAGAAAGGGCCCACCCCCTCTGAGAAGCAGGGGTGCTTGTACGACGCCTTCCTCCCTCCCCCATACCCCCCGTCTGCGCGTGGTTGAGGCTGGGCGGGGGCTGCCGAGGGAAGGACCTCTTCCGCTCCGCCTCTGGTCTCATCGTCGACGGTGCTCGTTCGATGCTTGGGCAGCTTAGCCCGAAGAGCCTCGGGGTGGCAGAGCGCGCAGCCTCTTCCTCTTTCCGCCCGAGACTCGATCCAGGACAAGTGCAACCTTCAGCAGGCCCCCGGAGGAGGCACCCAGGAGGCCCCTCCAAGAGGCCCCCACGAGGCCCACAGGAGGCCCGCGAGGTGGCCTTTCAGAGGCCCCCAAGAAGCCTTTCCAAGAGGCCTGTCCAGGAGGCCCCCAAGAACCCTCGAACAGACCCCCGAGGGGCATTCACGACTCGGGCACGGCTGCGGGATAGGCCGAAGGCCATTCGACGCGTCAGGGCTCGTGGGCAATGGGGCTGAACGGCGTCGCGTTCGCGATCCTGGGCGGGAGGGCGCGGCGGAAGGCGTGAGGGCTACGGCACAGCATATGATGACGGTAATGGTGATGGTGATGGTGATGGTGATGGTGATGGTGATGGTGATGGTGATGGTGATGGTGATGGTGATGGTGATGACGGTAGTGATGATGATGCTGCTGATGATGATGTAATGATGATGCTGGTGGTGATGATGATGAAGAATATGAGGATGCTGATGATGATGATGACAATGGTGGTGGTGATGGTGCTGATCCACTTCATCTGAAACGGCCAGGAGCCCAAGCTCGAACAACACCCGGGCCCAAACGCTTCCTTCGGCGCCTCGCTTGCTGCGCCAAGTCGTACCAACGCCACTCGCGAGGAACAATCAGGCTCTCGATATTACCGCTGCTGCCACACACGCGGCGGTCAATCGCCGCCGCGTGAACGAGACGTCCGGCGCGAGCCAGGCATCGGCTGCCAGAGTGCGGCAGCCGACGGCAAGACCCCGCAGGGAGCATTGCCCTCCGCTGCTCGAAGGCCGCTCTGGAGTGCCAGCAGAGCCTGCACGCACGGTCCCACTCCGATTTAGACGGCGCGCTTCCCGCCGCAGAGGCCCCGAAGAGCGGGACATCGCCAGAGACAGGCCCAGCGCACATGCCACACTGCGAGCGGCCCTGGGCCCACGCGCCACAACGAACACAACACATACAGTCATCAGATAATACCGCATAAGGAACGATACGTAATACAGAACGCATCAGGAAGGATAACATAATCCACGCAAGCCTGAGGAACGACCGAGCCCCTTTTGAAAATGACGTGTTCCGTATTCAAGCCGCTCACTGTATGGCCCCCCGCTCGCCACAGGCGTCGGGAGCTGTCGGGCACAAGCGTCCACCGGGGCGGAAGTGGCGGAGGCGTAGGCACCTCCGACCACCCGCGGCGGCCCGCACCGCCGCCGCCGCTCGCCGCGCCATGCTGCTCACCGTCTGTCCTCTCCACGGTGTTTTTCCGCATGGCCGTGCGTGAGCGCAGCGCCTGCTGCAAGCAGGGCCGCCGCCGCAGAGATGGCGGCCCTCCCCCCGCCCCCGTCGACGGGCGGGGGCCCGAAATGGGGCGACCCCCCTCCTGCGCAGCTGCCGCGCGACCGCCCCATATTCTCGCCATCCTGGATCCACGTCTCGTGCCTTTCACACGTCCTTCGTTCTGCCGCGCGGCTCGAAGGTGCGTCGCGCCCTCCATCTGAGATCGGCGTCGCCCTGGGAGCACCGCGCCGCAAGGATACCTTCTCCACCGTGCCCGTTTTCCGCCGTGGGCTACCCGCTGCCGACCTGCACGGCCGCGCCTATCCACATGAACGTCTTGGCGGCCAGATCCTCCTTCTGGGGGCCTTGTCGCCGACGTCGATCCTCGCGCGGGTGCATCCAGACTCCGTCGCGCGTCCCTTTGTCCGCAGCGTGGTCGCCCCTCTTCGGCCAGGCCCCAGTCCTTTTCAGCCTGCGCGTCCGCGAGGGAGGCGACCCTGATGACCTGGATGTTAACCTCCCCGATGTCGCCAACCACCCGCCAGAACATCACCTTCAAGTCACGATGCGGTCTGCTCCATTGCGCACCCCACTTACTGCCCGCATCGTAGCCGTCGGCCAGCACCTGACAACGCGTGTAGATCCTCACTGGAGGTAAGCACGCCCGCAACGCACTTCTGCACGCCAGGATCTCGGCCGCGCCAGGCTCCCGTGGGAAAGGCAATGGTGCTGGTCCGAACTGCGCCGCGTTCTCCTCGCCGCTTGTCATTGAAAGCGTTGCCCAGCCAGCCCTTGCAGCGCGCGCAGATGGCTCCTCCGCGCTGCCGCTCGCGAAGAACCCCCCCGCGAGCGTCTGCCCCATCGCCGCGCTAACTCCCTCTCTGCTGGAAGCTCTCTCCGCGGTTGCCCGCGGCAGCTGCCTGCGCTGCTCAGGCGCGGGTGCCCAGGGCCGCGAGGCATTATCCTCAGCCCTGCAGCTCGCCATCCTGACTATGGTCTCGCCCGCCAGATCTTCGGGGCCCATCTGCTCGCGCGCCTCGCCCATCGAGGCGCGTCCCCCACGTGCCAGCTCGGCGTGTCTGACCGCGCCCGACGCGCCGCAGCCTCCTGGACACAACTCTTTCTCTGCCGAAGGGCGTTCGGGCCCTGCCCTTCTCGCCCCTGGCCGCGGGCACCCTGGCGGGGCGTTCTGCGCCGAGCTGATCTCCTGCGCCGCCTGCTTTGGCCCCCTCTTGCGGCGCGGGATCTTCTCGATGCCGATCAGCGCCCCGCTGTCTCGAAGGCGCCCAAGGCCCTGCCTTCGGCTGGCGCCCCGCCGCGGCCGCAGACCGTCGAGGATAGCCCCCCGCCGCTTCGGACATATTTTAAAGCCACCAGCACCATGAGGTCAACCATCTGCCCCAACTCGTTCCATGCCCTGCCGGGTACCATGGGCTTCCATCCATGACTGCGGCGCGCGGTGCCCATCACAGAGGCCGGCCCCGTTCCTGCCGATGAGTCTGGCCCAGCTCGTTGGATCCTCTGCGCTGCGCTGCTGATGCCGCCGTCCCTCATGTCTAACCCGCCTCCCACGCGCTGCAGAGCCTTGGCCGGGCATCGATGGGCATCGGCGCGACTTCGCGCGCGAGGTTGCTTTTTGGGCCTTGCCAATCAGGAAGCTGGGGCTCAGGGCCCACCATCATGCTTAGCCCTGATGCGCGGCGCTTGCGTGGCTCTCCCAGTTGTCCAACAATGGCGTTGGCCATGCCATGGCGCGCGCCCCACGCCTCGCCATCGGCCTCAGCCCGGTGCCGCGCGGCGACCTGCGGCAGCTGCGCTCCCTGCCCGCGCGCCGCGCGCGCCCTCTTCTTCAGCTGGGCCGCCGCCTTGCCCTCGCGCCCGCTCGCAATGGCGCGCGCGCGTCCGCCCGAGCGCAAGCCCGCGCCCAGCAACTTGACAAGCTCCGCCAATGGGGAAGCCTGGCCCCCTTATGAACTTCGCGTTTAGCGATGCCAGTGCAAAGGAGTTCGCCAATATCTCGCTCTCCTCATCTAGTGGGCGCATCCAAGGCTGACCAGGCCCTCGACGGCGATATTGGTTGCACCTGAGCGATGCGCCGCCACCTCTGCCAGTGGCACATCGCACATCAGGCAGCAATCGCCGAACATAACGGACGGGTTTACCTCGGTTCCAATGCGCTCCACATGCGGGCATGCTCGTCCGCCACCATCGGCGAGCCGCGCTTAAACAGGCGCCCCGCGCGTCTGCATCCAGCGAGGAGGCCCGCCCCCGGCAAGAAACCCTTCGAGCCCGCCCCGCGCGAACTTTGCCGCGATGCGCCTCCCATCGGCGCGCGCAGACATTGCCATCATGAGTAGTCCCCGCGGGTGCGTCGCGAGGCGTCGGAAGATTGCGACGTCGACCAAATCGCGCGTCGCCCACAGGTCAATGAGCACGGTCCTCTCCTCGACCTCCTCCAGCTTCACCTCGCGTAGCCTGCCGCCGCGCTGCCTCCTCCGCGGCGCGTCGCCCTCACCCCTCCACAAGAAAAAAAAACAACCTGCCAGGCCCGCGATGGTTTCGCACCGCCTCGCCGACGACTGGCGCGCGCGATTCCATGGGCGCGGGGGCCAGCAGAACAATCAAGTAGTATGAACCCCCCTGCGACTTGAAGGGCATGACCATCATGGAGTCCGCGACGGCGTCGGGCCAACCTCCGATTTCTTCGCACTGCGTGCCGAAGTCGACCAGCGCCTCAAGAAGCTCGTCGCGGAGCAACGCAAAGTGCACCAGATTCGCGCGGTCACTCCCCGCGCCTGCGCTGCCAGCGAAGGCGCGGGCTGCCGGGCGCGCTTCAGCGACTAAAAACCACGGCAGTGGCGCCCCTTGGCCGCCCGCCACTGCTGGCTTGAACCTGGCGCCGTCGAGTCTGCCTGTCCACGCCTCCTTTGACCAGTGATCCGCTGGACACGGCGCTGCCAAATAGCCGACGCAGAATCCACCAAGTCGTCTGGGACCCACCCTCGTGGCCCCATCCTGTAGGCCCGCGCTCTGCCACCGCCCCTCGGCGCAAACTTGCTGATCCAAGTCTTGAAACCCTTGGTCCTTGCGGCTGCGCGCGCCGCTGCCGCTGCGTCTGCGGCCGCCGTCGCCATCTGGGTCCACTTCTCCGGCGGGGCCTGCAATTGGCTCTGCAGCGCCAGCAACGCTCTCGCCGCCCACTGGCGCCCGAATTTCAATGCCCCTTTCGGCGCCATCGGGGTCCTGCCTTGCCCGCCTTTGTAGTTGCCCTCTCCGTTGGTGGGCTGTGGCTCCGAATCTGGCGGCGCCGGCTGGGCTAGCGCGTCGGCCTGGGCGCGCAGTCTCGAGGCCCTGAGCTGCGCGTAGTGAGCCTCCTGCGCCTGCCCCCGCTCTTGCAGTGCCCGGCTCCAGAAGGTTGTCGATGAGCGTGGGGTACTGTGCTCGGGCCGTGCGGCTTCCGTTCCGCGCCTCCCCGCCCAGTTCCCTCGCTCTCCTCCACCTTTTCCACGGCGCCGCGACCGGCGCCCCCTGGTGCACCTCAGTTCGCTCCGCTACCCCCTTCCAAGAACTGCGCGGCGCAGGGCGCGCGCGCGTCGAGCCATGACTGCCCGCGATTGTCGTCGCTGCCGCAGTCAGGCACGGGGCCCATCCATGCGCATGCCGGGCCAATCTCTCCCATGCTCCCTCTAGCCGTTCCACCGGGCGCCTGCGCGCGCGTCGGCGTCGCGCCCCCTGATGTCCAGCGCCCTCGCCTCCGCCTGTGCCTGCAGGAATGCCTGAGGTGCGTTTGCCCCCTTCGGGCTTGCCCATGTTCTGCGCTAGTCCTACTAGTGGTTGTCCGCCCTGTCCGAGCGGGATGGCCGCGCGTGCTTCGCCCGCTCCGTCATCGGGGCGCCCGGCTTCGGGTGCTTCGCGGAGATCCCGATTGCCGGCCGACCTGCCCTGGCGTCGTCTTCTCGTCAAACCGCGTCTTGTCTTTTCCCGCGTCTGTCC